TTTTTCGTTTTTGAAGTAAAACTTTTTGCAGTTATAACACGACTTAGTTCTACCAGAGTTTGACCGTACTCAGAAAAAGTTGAAAGCATAAGAATATAGAAGAAAAAGATTGTTTCTGTAGTAGATGTATAAAAGAGTTTTACCAAGGTAACCATCACAGCAGCAAGACACTCAGGAAATTAAAATGGTGGATGAGCCACAACATCCACACGAATATTAATAACAGTTAAGCTGTATCAATATAGTGTAATGATGGGTAAACCCCTAAACCAGAAGTTCAAATAATCTAGCTGATTGACTGTTTGCAATAACCCAATTCTATTTTCCCCAGGACTTGAACAGTGGAAGTTTTAAGGGAATGTCAAAGTACAACCTCCTAAAAATAATGAAGATGTTTCTTGATTGCAATGACTCTAGAACTACAGTTCATGCACTTCTTGAAAGAAATAATCTCCTTCAATTCATCTACTCCTATAGAGAATGGAGCATTGAGGAGAAGTCAAACAAATATCAGTATCTTGGGAGATGTCTGCATTTGCTTCACAGTTGTAGTTTTCAGATTTCTATGTGATTTTGCCCCTTTTTTTTTCCTAATGTTACATCTCACTCTATACTCAGATCACTGAAATCACATTTCATCCATAATTTATTTTGTCCCTCTTGTCTCTGAGCCCATTTTATTTGCAACCCCTTCCATATTCTTTGCAACCCACAGGCAGTTTTTCTTTTATGAACAGGTTTACAAGTTCATAAATTTTCCTTACATCCCGTAACTTACAAATCAAAATAAATTTATACATTTTACACAGACCTTTGCTGACGGGTTCACTGAGCCTAGAAGCGTCCTTCTGCTGAACTTACTTATACATTTGGCAACATTCACTTTTGTCTCAAGTTTCAAATGTGCTAGCAATGAGAGTTTTGCTTTTCTCTATTTCCAAAGCAACTCAGAATTCCGTGGTTCTTGATAAAAATAAATAAATTGTTAAACCTTCTTTAATAGTAATGAATTTTACATGATTTTCAGGGAGGCTGAAACTGAGACCCTAGCATATACCTTCCTAAGGTGGCAGCAATTTTCCATGGTCTGAAGAAGAATTCCCACTCTTTAGTGTCTGTCTTAAGTTCACTGAGTTATTGACTACTTTTCATGTTATTTTATCAGCCATGAATTCTCATTATTTTACTTCCACTGAAAAAATTCTGATGGTAACTGAGACAATTTAAAAATGTTGCTTGCTAATCACCATAATCACAAGTCCTTGCCCACTAGAACAGATGTCAGAAAGATACACAGCAACAGCAGCAGAAGCAGCTTCTGTCTCTCCCTGAAGTGATATAATTCTTCTTCAAAGACTTCTTATCCCATGTTTTTAAACAGGGAACTGTAATATGTGAGACTGGTTTGCTCTTCACAATATGTCAACAGAGCTTCAGAACTGGACAGATTTCTACCGCTCCCAGTGTTGGGAGCACTGGTGGTAGCGATGGGAACAGCGAGAAGATCACAAAAGCATATGGAGGACTTTTGTTTTTCTACAGAATGTTTTCATTAGCAAATGAAGATTACCAAAAATGAGATGCTCCTCCGATGATTAATTTTCTGAAATCCTAATGGAAATATGGGGACTACAGCCCATCCAGAGCTTGGACTTGCCAGTAGCTGTCTTGAAGACAGTAAGTAAGCTGAGGGTCTGGAAGCTGCAGAAGCTTAGGACATAACCAGAAGCACCATCCAGCACACCTGGTGGGCTGGTATCAAAATTCCCAGGGTTTCTGGAAAGGACCTGTTTTATTGTGCTTAATTCCATAATTAAGAAAAATGTGTTACTTCTCATCACATGGACTCTTAATCATCCTGGCTAGGCTTCTTGAACGAAGATATGGGAAGGGCTCTACCCACACTTGCTACAAGTGCGCTGATGGCTAAAAAGGCTGATGCAGGATAAGCAAGTCCGGTTGCAAAAGGCACAGCAGAAAGTTGTCTTAGGTGGTATTGGCGAGGCACGGTTCTTTCTGCATTGTCTTTTCTCCTTGAGACTAATTCTACATGCGTTCTCAAAGGAGGCAGCAGCGTTATGGATGGTGTGTCTCCACGTCTCCCAATTGGAGGCCAGAGTGGACCACTGATGGTAGTCAGTATGGCCAAAACTGGGGTATTGTTTCAGAGAGTCCTTGTATCTCCTCTTTGGGGCTCCTCTGTTGCGGCAGCCAGTGGCGAGGTCCACCCAACGCACAACACTAG